TCGAAATCGCAAAATCGTAAGGGGTTAGGGGTATTTCGGGTCCGCGGAAGGGTTCTGGAAGGGTTCTGGAGGGCGTCTGGCACGTGGCTTGGGGCGGGTCGCGCCCCCTAAGGCGTGGGCGGCGCGTCAGAGGTCCCCCGCGAGGCGTGAGCGGCGGTGTTGAGGCCCCTTTTGAAGGGCAAGCGGCTGTGTTGAGGTCCCTATTGAAGTGCAAGGTTTGAGGCTGAAGCCCAAGTTGAAGCGGCGTTTAACATATCCCGCCGGCGGGATATGTTACTAGGAGGAGCCCGGGAGGAGCCGGCCCCGGGATCAGGGAGCCGGCCCTTTGGTGCAGCAGCAGACGCCAACTTCCAACCTAACCTCGATAGGTAGTGGCTAGATAGCCAAGGTGGGAATGCCTCACATGTTCGACATCGAGGACATCCTCAATTTCAAGTATCTCACCCGCAATGGCCTGAAATTGCGATTTCACTTCCTCGTCTTTAGCAGCGAGGGCGCTCTGGTGTTGTTTGGCAAGTCGCAGTTTGGCGCGATTTTGAGCATCAGAAGCTTGCTCAAGTCTCGCTGTCACTGTGACTGCGGCGGCGTCTGCCGCCACATGCGAATGGTGTAGGTCATCTAGTATGCTTGCTTGGGCACTTTTATGCACCAAGTACTTGCTCGCGAGGACATGTGCGTGGTCCTTGCCTTGCAATCGTGGTCCTTCTGTTCGGATCTCAGCCTCGGTGCGATCCTGCCGTTTTCTAGACTCATTCACGCGGAGCCTCGTGAGCTCTTCGCGCATGATCTGCGCGTTCCGAAGGGCTGTGAGGTGCCTGTTGACCCACTCGGTGCGCTCTGTGCGCAGCGCGGCGACAGCAACTAGGTGTATACTCCTCTGGCGCATGCACTCAGCATCCACAGCTTGTGTTCTATCTCGCTCCCAAGCTAGAGCTGACCGTTGGACTTGATGAATTGTGGCGTCGATGGTCATATCACGCTGCCTCTCAAAATCTGCTGTCGTCTCCAAGATGGTAGCCTCCACAAAAGCGTTGCATTGTGCTGTAATGTAACTTGACCATGTGGTCTGGTCAGACAGCCGTGCTTTACCTACGACACTTCGCCCGTGGCTCAGGAGGCGCATCACAATGTTCCGGTCGTGCGCGAGCCTCGCGCTCGTCGCATTTATGTGTTTATTATTCAAAGCTAGGAGGTCGCCGTGTTGGCAGCGCAAAGCGTCCGAATATCTCTGCTCCTCTAGCTCTGCTCGCAACTGTGATGATTCATTTGCTCGCTCTCTCACCGCTACAGCATAACGGTCCCGAGCATCTGTTTCCATCTCAGCTCCACTCTCCCCCACTCGCATATTCTCCTCAAGTTCCCTGGCTAGGATTTTTTCTCGAGCTGCCTCCCACAATGTGGATTGCCGGGTGGACAGCTTTCCATGTAACTCTGTGCGCAATGCTCGCCCTGAAATCTCATGACCCGTGCACATTTGCATCAGGTTACTGTGGTGCTTTTCCATGAGACTCTTCAGTTCAGGTTCCAGTCCCTTCACCGTGAGCTCTCGGATATTTTCTGTTTGAATGCGCACACACTCCATTCGACGATGC